ACTACCGGCGTCAAACCAACAGTCTTTGTGGATGACTGAGTGCTGTTGGTAAAAGGTGAAAGGGACTGCTTTCTGTGGTTTGAATTACTATTGACACTCATTAGCTTCTCAGTCGGCATTTGTAGTGATGCGCTGACCGCTATATATATCTCGTTATTTTAATCACTTCAGAAACATACCGTCGACTTCAGCAATCAATCACTGATTGGCGTCTTGGCGAAACTAGCTTTATTCCACCCTTAACATTCTTCAGACTGTATCAACGAGAAGACGGCATCAGTATATAGATATGGAATGCTGGCAGCGTCTACCACAACAATCCCTAAATCAAACACGTCGGGTGCTCAACATAACTTCAGCACCAGCATCAAACATCTCCACATTGGTCTGTGCATGAGGAAGCCAGCATCTCCATAGATTGTACTTAAGAGAAGTGATGTGTGACGCAGCGGACGTGTAGGGGTGTAATTTTTAACCGAACGAGTTCAGTAAACGTTCTTTAGCATTTGCGACTCAGGTGTTGAACGCACGTATTCAAACTAGTGTGAATTCTGAAAACAGTTGCCGTTGTAGACCGTGGACTACTGTGAAGCTATTTACAGCACCAAGAAATTGTATATCGTCAAGATTTAGATACAGATCGAGAAAGCTGCAAAACTTTCCCTGCAGCGTAAACTCCCGGAATACAAAATATGCATGAAATGAGCAATTTCAGGGGTAGTTGTAATGATGTAGAAGTTGAGATGTACGAATAAAAGAGACTGTAGTCTGAATTAACTAGATTGTAATTCAGGCCAATCTAACACCTGACAACTGGTCTTTTTCTCAACTCAACTATTTGAAAAAGTCTGTAGTGGACTGGCAACCACCCCGCGTGAGTGTGAGTGCATGAAGGCCCGTGTGTAGCGATGACTCATCCCCTTTTGTTATTGATTTTTGTCAGCATTCGCCTGTTACGCATGCGTGCTCATACGCACACAAAGCCACTTGGCTGGTTCGACTCTAATAAACGGTCGTGTTCTCTGTCGCCTCCTTTTTCCCATCCTCGGGTAGCTACGGGCTGTTAAGTAGAGGGTTGTAAGGTAGTGCTAAATCCTCTAGTCACTACAAGTCTTCAGGACATTAACGACCACCATCAATCAACCGAAATTGTTCGCTTTAATCAATGACCGTCTACGGTACAGTGTGTCTTCATCTAAAACGAGAACGGTTGCGTTGAGGCTGTTGTGTAGGTGGCCTGGCAAAATCCACACAGCAGCCGAGTCTCCCTATAATGCATCAATGTCAAACTTCAGGTGCTTACGTAATAAGGAAGTTAGTGCGCCGTTCCACAAACTTTCAATTAACCAATGACCTCGCACAATCACAAGATGCTGAAAGTCTCAAGCAGAGCACAGATAGTGAGCTACTCAGTAGGATGAAATGCGATTACATGGTTTATTTTCTCCTGGTGGGTTTCTTCTTCCTTATCATTATTATACTACTCAACAAACCCGGTCTCGCCTATATCGAGAAAGATGAAGCAGTTGACGAAATACCGGCAAGCTTAACTTGCAAATGGCCACCATCCACGCCTAAGGATTTTTACTCCGAAGGTGGCTACAACATAACCCTGTGTGTACGACTGGATCCCAGGTTGTCGCCAACAAGGAAGCCCAAGAAATATCCCCTTAGTTATGTATTTCGCAATTGGAAAGGTAGAAGCATAATTTCCTTCGAAGAGCTCGGAAAGCTATCAAGGCGTTTCTGGAAACTGGTGAGGTATCCCGAGGTGTATCGCACGTATCCACAGGACGTTCCACTGAAGCAAATCGTTAAGGCCGTGAAAGCGGGACTTCCTGTCACTGATGTAAGTCAACCCATTTCTCGAACTCTTTTTCATCGTTACTTATCCATTAATTGATCACGTTTACCATGTTCATAATGAATGAAGTCACAACGATATATTTCATTTGTGCCCTAAATAAATTTAGGACACATTTAATGAATTGCACATTTGAACTACGCACAGGTCATTTCGGTGAATTAATGGATGAATTGAGGGTTGTGTACATTTTCATATCAGCTAGATCTGATGTTAATGTCCGAAATTAAGCAAACCTGACTTCCACTTTAATTTATCCAATCACGTTGCATTTTGATGGAGTTAAATTTCGTCCTCAGTGCCACCAGTAGTGGCAATGGATGATGTGCATGAGTCATCGTACCATTAGTGTGAGCGCGATATTTTAATTCCTAGACTGTTGTGTCTTACTTCTTCCAGATGCCACAGTACAATTTCCCCATCCGCATTCTGAAAACCAGCAAGTCGGTCTGTTCAAACAGCACCAAACACGACCTCGTCATTGTGGTGAAAAGTGGAATTCTCGGATGGGATGCAAGGACGGCGTTTCGTGAATTCATGCAACGTGAGAAAGCTCGCAGTGCGAATCTCCATGTCGGAGTGGTCTTCAGTCTCGGATTGCCTCGCAAACACGGTGGCAGATTATTCAATCGTGAGGGCAATATCATCAGCTTGCCTGAAATCAGCGGTGACATGCTCGAACAATTTAATGGCAAGGAAGATGTAGTGATGGAACGCATCAACAAGGAAATCGAGAATTACGATGACATAGTGCTTGCCGACTACGAGGACACGTACTACAACTTGACGTGGAAGACTGTCACGAACCTGAGATGGCTGTCGGCATTTTGCAACAAATATCACGCCAACACATTCATGATTATCGACGACGATCATCGCATGAATCTCTCCATGGTGGCACCATTTCTCAAAAGTGCTTCAACCGAGACGATGAGAAAATCCATTTTTGGATTTGTCGGGAATGTCGACTACGCCTATAGATCTCCTACAAAGAAATGGTTTCTGTCCTACCGCGAATTCCCATGGGATTTGATGTATCAGTATCCACGAGGATTTTCGCAATTCATCGGAGCCGACATCATTGACGACATGGCCATCGTGAGTGCATACACGAGGTACAATTATTCACCGGAGGATGTCTTTCTCGGAATGATTGCATTTAAACTGGGTATCGACCTGCACAATGTGGACTCAATGTATGACCACACGGAATATGCCATAAGGAATACAGGTAGGCAACCAGCGATGGTGGCAATGAAGGATTACTTTGGATGACATCTGACAGTATCGACATCTGCATGTTTTGTACAACTTTAGAGTGTTTAAATTTCGATCACAACAATTTATGGTGAATCTTCACTACAATAACTAAAAAAAAAAACAACTAACCTCTAAGGGCTTGTCACGTCGACATCTAATGCTGTTGAAATTGACGAACACACCAACCGCCGCGGGTTCATTAACCCGCCGTGAACTCACTGACGCCTGTGTTTATTTTTCACATATCTACTCAACTGTATCAGTAGACACATCCACAAGTTGATTGAGCTGTCTTGTAAACGGTCGTGCCTGCCGTCTCTGGACTTATATTCTTCCCGGGTTACCTCGTGTGGTAAAGGGCCTCAACAGGTGGATCTAATTGGATTGACGCAAAGGCAAGTTGTCAGTGAGATATCTAGGAGATAGGATGTCCAAACGAAGTGCAAGCAATGGCGAAACCTCAGTTAAGTGGCAAATAGTCCCGGGGACTCTTGGCTGCTGCAACAGAAGGAATCCAAAATCGGTCAGCATCTTCCAGTGGCAGTCATTATCTATAACACATTTCATACCTTGTCAACAAATAGGTGTTTCAATACATACTCTTTCGTAACAATTTAAAGGCCGATCCTACTCAGTTAAAACCGCGTCTTTTTGAAACTACAAGATGAATTCAGAGGTCAGAAGTCAACCGTGGTTCATTTTGAGAAGCCATGCTCATGTAATAAAGCCCAACGTGGATCGAAAGCATGATGGGTTTGTTTTAACGAATTGTCTGGGCCGGCTTGAAACAATTCCGGAACTAACTTTAATTCCTTCCCATGACGCAAACCAACTGTTGACAGTCAGATATCTAGATGAATGGAAAAACTGCTGAACCAATCAAAGGTCAACATTTTTCGCCTTCGCCCAAATTGGCGCCTGAATCCCGTCTTACCCCAAGAAGGAGGGATTAGTAACAGATTGCATATAGACAAAATGCACTCACATGACCGTAGACATAAACCATCATTCCGTAAAAACAGACCTTCAATTCCATTTTAACTGCCACCCTCAAATGCATCTTTCGTAGGAGAGACTTCGTTCATGCACTTCTGTCTGACTAGACTGTAGCAAACACTGACACTTGAGTGATAATCTCTCTAACTCAAGAGAAATAACTCAAAGTTCCAAACATACCACAAATACAGCATCGGTGTTTCCTGCGTGTTTGACCTCAAGCTTGATGCTTGTTGATTTCGTTCCAGTCATTACAAATTTCCAACAGTTTTGCATCATGACAATTGGAGGAGAATAGAAATATGAAAATTGTCAAGCTTTTTGGAATTTAGCAACGTATTCTCTGTGTAATATATGATTAATAAGGCATAAAAGTTGGAAAATTGCCATCAAGGTGCTGATGCATCAACATGCTGCAAGTATTACGATGTCGATAATATCAGATTCCCTTCAAAATTATACCTCACTGCCACCATCGCTGGTCGCCTACCCATGGTCTTTCTCTTGTGAATCGCGTTGTGGTTATTGTAGTAGTTGTAGGTTGTAGAAGTAATCTGACCAGGGTCAACTCAACTGCCTTGGCGTGGTTCAAGACCAAATGCTGGGGCCCACAACAAATGGTGACACCGACGTGATGAAATGTTCTACTGGTGTGAATAGGCACGACTCACAGCAACCCAATAAGGGGGTAAATAGAAGATTTTCATCAGTTGACTAAGATAAAATACTCATCAGATTATAAAAATATTCGCAAGTTTTAAAATTAAATGATAAAATTGCACGTACACATACAAAAGTAGGCATGAGGATATTATATGTGGAAGAGGGCACAACATAACCTTGTGTATACGAATGGACCCAGTGTGTCACTTCGAAGACATACCCTGACCGATCTGTTTCGTGATTTGGAAGGCAGAGGGACAATACCATTTGAGGACCACGGAATGCTACTGAGGCGTTTTTGGAGAGCTGCGATACATCGTCGGTTTATTGCACTTACCCACAGGACGTTTTACTGAAAAGCATTGTCAAAGGTGTGAAAGCGGGTTTTCCTGTTACTGATGTAAGAAGTCAATGGTTGGTTCAGGAAGCTATCCAAAACGAACGATAATTGGACCGAAACAGATCGCTCAGGGTATGTCTTGGAAGTGTTTGTTAGTGACACACTGGGATCCGTTCGTACACACAAGGTTATGTTGTGCCCTCTTCCACATATAATGTCGTCATGCCTAGGTGTGAGGATGATCCATAATAAATATTCGTGTGAATGAAGGAGGAATTGAGTATTCGCGCCGCTGGCGGCATGCTGAGAAAAAGGGAACCCTGTGTCGGAGGTGGGTGAATAAATACGATTCACAACAGCTCTCCCCCTTATCGAGAGGATTTGGATGTGGCTGTCGATATGGGTCGGACGGAAAAGTCTCTCTCCCTTAGCAAGATAATTCAGCTAACCTATTCTTCTATGGGGATTCTGAAAGGTTGACTGTAGGTTTCTGCAGTCGAAGTGTGACCCATGTGAAAGTATAAATGAGGCGAATTGCTGTGCGTTTGAAATGAATCGTTGTTGCCGATACAGCCTTTTCTGCTATTTGGGTGTCTGAAAGGTTGATCATTGGAGAAGTCGTGAATAATGCCGAATAGTAATATCGTTGAAGTCTTTCGATCTAGTTGACAGTCTAGAACCAGGGGATAGAATCGGTCAAAAATACCTGCTGGATGAAAGTTAGAAGACATGAGATGCGGTCATGTTGATTAAAAGAGAGACTCGATGAATGAGGCCAGGTTGTGAAAAGGAGAGATTTGTGCAAATAAAAGTGGAAAGATTGTCGCAGAACTGTGGCTAGCCGCCACCAGGTGATGGGAGATTTGGTGTCGTCCGGATAACTGTAGTAATAGGTCGCCAAGCGTCGGCGATGACTTGCTCGAGCGTTTGGATGGCCACGGTGATTATGCTATGGAACGTATCAATAAGGAAATCCGACTGGTGATCTCTTTTGAGGAGTTCAGCGATGAAGCATGGTTTTATTTGAGTACCTCGTAAAAATACTACAACGTCGGGGTTACCATTTTGTTGAAGGCCTTTTACCACGAGAAGTAAACCGGGAAGAAAATAAGTCCAGGGATGGCGGGCACGACCGTTTACCAGACAGCTCAACAAAGTTGTGTAGTGTACAATTATGGTTGAGTGGACATGTACAAAAATAAACACAGGTATCTGTGAGGTCACATGACTAAAGCGGGTGGTGGTGGGACTTGCAGAGTGGTTAATGAACCAGCGACCTCACGTGACTAACGGGCAGGTCGTGAAAGGAGGGGAAGTGGGCTGGAAGTTGCGAGGACTGGGTTATTGGACATGAACCAACAAGATTCACAACAAACCAGTTGCCACTTGTCTTAGTTGAGTCTGCAGTTCATTGTGCATACTATGAATGTAGATGCGGTGCAATTTGGATTGACACACATCCAAAGGTAACTGTTTCATCAAATAGGTCTGTATGATAAGTGACAAAAGCGCGTGGCAGGACCAGAATATTTGCTGGTAGCAACGGTACCGTGAATACCTGCACATTTCAGTAGCGCATTAATGGGTAAAAATTAATAAAAATGTACCTGAGATCATTGGCATTAAGAAGTCACTGGTTGGTGCAGAAAACTATCCAAGGCGAATGACAATTATACTGCTGTATTTCTACTTTCAGATGCTTGAACAGAACATCCTGGGGATACATGTGGTACTCCTGAGGATATTTCACCAGTTTCCAAAATCTTTGTGGTATTTTTACGAGGTACTCAAATAAAACCATGCTTCATCGTTGACCTCCTCAAAAGAGATCACCAGTCGGATTTCCTTATTGATGCGTTCCATAGCATAAGCACCGTGGCCATCCAAACGCTCGAGCAAGTCATCGCTGATTCCTTCCAGGCTGGTGATGCTGCCGTCACGACTGAATATTCTGCCACCGAGTTGGTGTGGCATTCCCAGACTGAAGACGCCTCCCACATTGAGCCCTGGGAAGCGAGGTTTCGCGCGTTTCATAAAGGCGCGGAATGCCGTTCTAGCATCTCATCCAAGAAATCCACTTTGCACCACGATGGCAAGGTCGTGTATTGAGTTGCTTGCACAGACCGAATTGCTGGTTTTCTGAGCGCTGATGGTAAAATTGTATTGGGGCATCTGGATGAAAGTAGATGGCAATCTAAACGCAATTCGTTTGAGCATAACCTCCATATAATTATCTCAGGGGGTCCTTTTCCTATAAGTTACATTCATTTCAGAGGCCTAGGAACTCACGTAAATCATCGATTGCCATCACTTATGTCGCAGCAATTGAATATCATTTTTATTTAAATGCAGCGTATGCGAAAGCACATTTACTGCCTTTCCTATTGAAAAAAAGGCAACAATTATTTTCGATCTAAATTCAAACAAATATTTCCTGCTGCATGTTCACTTCCGTTTACAATGCAATGCCCAATGTGTTGTTCAGGTATAAAATCATTCGCACGTGCTCTCAATTCGTTCTATATACCAATGAAACACAGTCGCTTGATCAATAAATGACAGATATATACATTTGCCAGTGTGTATTTACCCCGATGTGTTGAATATGTCAACTCCCTAGCCGTCAAAATCACGCTCTTCACTGAGTAAGGGCTTTTTCTCAACCCTGATATTTTGGCTTACAATGCATTCCTTAACCTCTGTCAATAAGTCGACGCTCAAACAGCATCAGTAAGCGTTTATTCCGGCAAAAACGCAGTCCATGCTACTTGATGGCAACGCCAATCACAACAATGGCTACATCAACCACAACGGTCCCTCTATTCAATGTAAACACTGGCACTAATAATCTCCGTTCGAGTCCGTGTTCAAATAATTTGCCATTTCCCCAATCGGACTTTCGCATGGCTGTAGGAGCAGGTGTGAAGACGCGAATGAGTGGAAGTTTGTCCGAACGGGATTTTTTCTGGTAAAGCTGCAACTCTAATTGGACTCTGTTTAAAAACGCTCCATTAGCACACATCAGAGGTTATCCAAATTATCACTGAAAAACGCCTGTTAAAGTGGGCAGGCAAGTTCTCACTTCAAGAAACCAATTCACGCAATGGCACAGATGTCGCATTAGTTAGTTGAATATCCAGACATTAAGCTAACAGTGAACAACGTGCACTATTAACATGATAAATGCAGTGACCAGTGTTATCAGGCAACCAACGACCTCTGGCAAGCGCTATATAAATGTGCTCACAACCAGAGTTCATAAACTTAGCTAGTCGACAGAAAGAGGCGTGACTCCAAAGCGTAACATAAAATTTGGCTTCTCCTAGTGGGACTTATTTTCTCAATGTTATCGTACTACTTACAAAACCCAATCACACCTCGATCGACGAAACTCAAGCAGTGGAGGAGATCCCGCCAAACATGGCCTGCAAATGGCCTCCTTCTACGCGCGAAGACACTCATTATGGAAGAGGGCACAACATAACCCTGTGTGTACGACTGGACCCCAGTGCATCACAAATAAACACTCCCACGACATATCTTCTGAGCGATCTGTTTCGTGGTTTGAAAGGTAGAGGCGCAATGTCATTCGAAGATCTCGGAATGCTGCCGAGGCGTCTTTTGGAAAGTGGTGATATATCATCAGGTGTATCACACTTGCCCACAGTAAGTTCTACTGGAGAGAATTGTCAAAGCTGTAGAAGTGGGTCTTCCTGTCCTTGATACAAGTCGATACGTGTCACTTAAACTTTCGTGCCCATCGTTCTACCACAGAATCAAATTGAACTATATCCAGATTGAAATAAACCACAATGCAACAGTAAAAGGCAATGTGAGTTTGCATTTTTTGGTGCTTAACATGAACGGAGATGCGATTCAATTTGGATTGGCACACATCCAATGGTAACCGAATCACCAAATTATTTTTAATGACTAGTGACGAAAGCCCGTGACAGGACAAAGAATGTGTGGCATTAATGGGAGAAAACTGTTCATTGGATTGAGCAGATCCACGTGCAGTCAGTAAAAACCTTTTTGATGAATTTAAGCGGTAAACAAGCACCTCTCCCGCTCAATTGCTGACAGTCCACCAGATGGGGACGTGTAGTTATTGAAGTATAATGTAAGTTAATGCAAATGTATTTAATTAGGAACAATGTGCGCTCCCAAATATATTACCTTACTCTTTCAGTCCATGACCTACATTAAATTGGACGTTAGCTTCGAAACAGCTCTAACACCAGCTATTCCATTTAAATGTGCCTAAAATGAAGAAATCCGGAATTTGTGTTTAAAAAAAGTGAATGTGGTTCTTCAGATCTGTAGTTTTCACTGAAAGGAATTGTTCTTGCAATAAGCTTCAAAGTCAGTGGTAGTGTCACGTGCTGAGCTTTTCTGCTTTGACAAGGGCCTAGCGAACTCGACTTTTATTTTCACAACTGAATTCACACTCTCGCCCTGTCCATGCTTACATCATGACAACTAACAAGCAGAATTAATAACTGGACATGGGGGAGTTGGCATCATGAAATACGAGACGCAACCGCAAGTCATATATGAGACAGCCCCACTACGAAGAGTGCCACCTCTTGGTAGTGAAAACGAAAATGTTCAAAAAATATTTCTGCTCTTATTTGTAGGCGACGTTTGCTGTTCGTCATCCAGATCAAGCTTTGAAATCACTCAACCGATGATACATTTCATTGCATATTTTCTACATGTGCATTTCATTTAAGCCTCGCCAAATATCAGTCGCATGTCAGACAGCCCCACTACCAAGCGCCACACTTGGTCTGCTCTTATTTGCAAGCAAAGTTTGCTGTTCTTCCGCCAGAGAAATCATTAAAATCGCTTAAAAAATGATACATTTCATTATAATTTTTACACGTGCATTTGCTAATCATTTCATTAAGTCCCGCCAAGTATCAGTGTAAACGTTAAATGGCAACGATTGGCAGATTTGTGAACGATCAGATGCACTCTCCACCCAATCAGAAGTTGCCGAAATCATTTTTCGCTTGCACCCTGTTGATTGTGTTCCGAGCATTTTCACACTCTGTGCAGTGCGTGGCGTCGTTATTCCAGGCAAAGTCTTATTTGTCAAGTGTTCTGGATGCTGCAGCCCAAATCGAAGGCAGGTGAATTTACAGTAGTCCTTCGTTTCCTCATTCTCAATGACAGGTTAGGCATCAGAACCCATGTGCAAGTGTAGTGTATCCTAAGGAATCAAAATTGTCGCCACAGTTTATCCACGGCCACTTTTTAATTTTTACCTTGGCTGCTTCAACGAAAGAAGTCAAATATCGGTCACCATCAAAACTTGTACCTAGTCAACCAATATATGCTTTGATACATACGCTTTCGTAATAATTTTAATACCGGTACTAGTTAGTTAGAAACGCGTCTCTTTGGAACTACAAGGTGTGTTTAGAGGTCAGAAATCAACCGCTGTTCATTTACTGAAGCCATGCACATGGGATGAGGACCAACTTGATCGAAAGCGTGATGGATTTGTTTTAACGGATTGTCTACTTCGACAAATGGTGGATATTCTCTTGAAAATAGACATAAAGTGGAACTGACTCTAATTCCTTCCCGTTACGCAGAAAAATTTTAGAAGATCAGATATCCAGATTAATGCATAAACTGCTAAACCAATCAAAGGTTAAATTGATTCGCCAAAAATGGCGCCTGAATCCCGTGGTACCCCATAAAATGAGGGATGGGTAACAGACACTGTATGGAGAAAATGCACTTACATGATCGTTGACATAAACCATCACCCGGTCGAAACAGAACTTCAGTTCTATTTTAACCGCCAGCCTCAAAATGCATCTTTTGTCTGACTAGACTGCAGCAAACGCTGACATGCTAGTGATAATCTCTCCAGCGCTAGTGAAATGACTTAAAGTTTAAAAAAATGCCACGACTCTAGCATCGGTGTTTTCTGTGAATTTGTGTTCTAGTTTGATGTTAGTTTGTTTTGTTTCAATCATTTTATTCATGTTGTTTCAAAAACCATTTATTGTAATTTAAATTCTAAACTGATTGAAGCATAGAAAGTTGGTGTAACCTTAGTACACTCCAAACAGGAAGCAGGACTTTCATTTACGTAATTCGTGACAAATTTGCTGCACCCACTTAAAGACAGGTGCCATTGTTATTTCGAACTGGTTGGGCAAATCTTCGTGGATAGTGGCACATCAAATCCCATATAAATTCTCGGCAGGACAGTGACCACATCTTAGATGAAGATCAGTAACCATGGTTGATTTGTCTCAGTCGAAACACTTTCTAGAACCTGTGCTAAATTACGCGAGTTAAACACCTGCAAACAGCCGTTTTTTGTAATCATCCGTAAATGAGAGAGGACTGAGGTTGTAAAAGTAGACAGTGTATGTTTGCTTTTAAATGGTTGTGAAGAGATGATCGAAGTTGCGTGTAAAGTGGCAAAAACCTTAATTTAACCGGAGTGTAGAGAATAAAAAATCAGGATATACCATCCTAGGATAAGAGAACGCGATGTCGATCAGTACAGCTGTCGTTTGGACATGCATATTTTTACGCATAAATGATGCAGTTCTGGATTAAGTGACCAGGATCTTAGTACAGTTACAAACCCAACATTTAGGCCGCAGTGTCCTACATGCTTAGTCTATTATGGCACGTCACGCGATACTCAGGCCTATCCATTTAGTCTTCGCAGTGGCCCAGTTGGATGGTTGAAGATTCGCGTGTGCATGCGAGAGTCATATATAGTATGGCTGAATATTTCATTTGGAAATTATACTGTTGTACTGGGTTGTTTCAATCCAACTAGTACAACCTCCGACACAGAGTTCCCATTTTTGCAGTATATCGCCAGCCGCAAGGATCCCCAACTCCTGCATAAATAGCGCCAACGATTAAATTAGATTATTTACACGCCTAGGTCTCGATTTTCGCCCATCTGTGATTCACACAACTAAGTTATTAATACACACGCGAACGCCACACATGAAACAATGACACCAACTTGGTTGAGCTCTGAGAAACGCATTAATGCCCTGGAGTTGGCCATATCGTTGGCAATGTTTGGGACTTTCGGATCTCTACCCTCGCACAAACAATCCCAACTCGAATTAAACAACTTTGAGTTACTGTCGCGAAACTTCTTACGCAATCGAAAGTCAGTCATTTACTGGCCTCTGATCTACATCTACGCAAAACACAAGACAAATTAAAGCTCATATGAATCGGATTAGAAGAATTAGGTGGTTCTTGAACTGAAAATTGACGTGAATTGCTTTTTTCCGAAGACTAAAGCTGTGTTAGCAACCGAGGACGTTTGTGATGGTCAATGAAGCTGCCTGTTACGCCTTAACAAATTGATTATTTGCATATGACCAAATACAATGGGTATTTTATCGATTTGACCTACACTAGTGTACTTCAATGGAAGACTTTCGCTCAAATTCCCGTGCTCAGGCGACGCATTTGATTGGATGAGAATCCACCGGTCATTGTGGCCCAAACACAGGTGGCTATTAAGACTCATGAAATTATTATAAACCTTCCGTGCCTCGATTTTAGGCCAACGAAAAATGTGCGAGCAAATTGGAAGCTGCACCATTCCTCTACGCTGTGTGCTGTTCTCTTGTACCCGCAATCTTTTATTCGAGATGTGGATGGTGTCTTCGTGCTCCATGACACTGTATGACCCATGTTTATTCGCACGAGGCAACGCTGAAGATCGTCGAAGGAAACCTGACGATTTGTCTGCGAAAGCTGGAACAGATCAGTGAGGGTGTAAATCTTCTGTCTCCTAGTCATTAGCTGCCTCTCACCTAGTCGAATACAAAGTGCTATGTTGTGGCGGCTCACAAACTGAATATCTTCAATCTGTCTGGGTGGCCACCGGCAAATTTGGTAGGTGGCCGTTACGTGCGATGTTTCACTAAAACCACCGAGAACTTTGTCTAGTATCCATAACTGGACAGTAAAATTTAATAAATAACAGACCTGCTAGCATAAAATTAACGTGATTTGCTTTTTTCAATGACTAAAGCCCAATGAAAGCAGCAGATGACGTCTGTGATGGTCAATGAAGCTGCTTGTTAGGCCTCAGCATGTCGATTAGTTGTAAAGAAATCAAAAGCAACGGGTATTTTGACAATAGTGTACTTCAATGCAAGGATTTCAGCTCAAATGCTCCGTGCTCGTGCAGCACATTTGATTGAATGAAAATCCGCCAATCGTTGTGGCACTAAAGCAGGTAGTTCTGAAGACTCTTGAAATTACTATAAATCTTCCACGTCACGATTTTAGGCTCACACAATATGCCAGCTAAGTAAATTCTACAACTGTCCTCTACGCTGTGTGCTGTTTTTTGGTCCCCCTTACCTTCTTACGAGATGCGGATGGTGTCTTCTTGCTACATGACACTGTATGGCCAATGTTGATTCGCACAACCATGCCTGCGTTGACAACCAACGAGTTGACTCGTATTGGCAAGTTCCTCATCATAGAAAGCTGTTACCTGATGTGCACAATTAAACTCAGTTGCGATGTACTGTTGACTTTTATCAACTAGTTTGGTTCCGAAAGTGCCGTGGCATTTCACAATCCATCGTATTCGCTGCCCAATTTTTGGTGCATTTAGATTTGGCATTGTCACTAAACTGTCTGCAAATAACTCAAATGTCTCGATGCGGTTATATATATTTCCGAGACCTAACTTGACATATATTAGAAATCTCACACTCCCATTCCGCTAAAGCTTAGTGTTAGTGCTAAATTACACAATTAGCATAAAAAAGCGAATACTGAAAGACGTAATGCACAACTATACAAAATTACAAAATGCAGCTGTTATGGATTACCAGGTTAAGAATCTGACGCTACCGTGTGTTTGAATGTTCGAAATACTTGCTCAATGCCACCATCGCTGGTTGCGTCCCGTTGTTTCTCTCATCATATTCCTCGTGGTCATACATTGCGTCCACATTGTGCAAGTCGATGCCCAATTTAAATGCAACCATTCCGAGAAACACATCCTCTGGTGCATAATTGAAGCGTGTGTATGCACTCGCAATTGCCAGGTCTTCGACGATGTCGGCACCAATGAATTGGGAAAATCCTCGTGGATATTGATACATTAAATCCCATGGGAATTCACGGTAGGACAGGAACCACTTTTTCGTTGGAGATCTATACGCGTAGTCGAATTTGGCGATGAATCCGAAAATAGACTTTCTCAGTGTTTCCGCCGAAACCGTGTCAAGAAATTTTGCCACCATGCTCAGATTCATGCGATGATCGTCGTCGATAATCATAAACGTGTTTCCGTGGTGCTTGTTGCAGAATGCTGACATCCATCGTAGGTTCGTGACGGTTTTCCACGTCAAGTTGTAATACGTGTCCTCGTAATCTGCCAGTATTATGTCACCGAAATCCTCGATTTCCCTATTGATGCGTTCCATCACAACATCTTCCTTGCCATCGAATTGCTCGAGCATGT